CCCATAAGCCTTTTTTTTTTAACTTCTCTATCAGCAAAACCAGTTTAATAAAACTTCTTATGTTTCCCTCTAAGTTCTGATGTTTTGAGGGGGATACTTCCTATCAGAATATCAGAGAACATTTGTTCCCAATCTCATGAGCTTCATCCTCAGTTTTGAGGTCTGCATTGCTTTAAAAGGAGCAGTTATTGCAATGGTTGAGAACCCACAAGTCAAGATGTAAGACATGATGTATTAAGTCCTTACTGAAATTACAACCAAAAGCTTGAACTGGTATCATCAGTGAACTGGGAAGCAGCTGTCAGCTTGAGCACAGTACAGACATGGCGTTCACATAGTAGCCAGAGTCACAGGTCATAAGCCATACTATATATTAATCTCGGGGTTGACACCACAGTTCAGTGCAGTAAAACAGTCCTTCAGAATGAGTGTGGCAAACACACAGGCTGCTGTGTCCAGGCCTGCACTCTGAATGAAGTTTCCTAGCAAGTCAGAAAGTAAAAGAAAGGCAGTCATTTAGACTTGTCAGGAAGAGTACTGCAAAGTTTTTGCACTGTTGTGAGTTGAATGCCTACAGGGACAAGTGGAAACAACACCATGGACAACTCTTTGATGTGCTTTTTCCTTCCCAAACATTGCTTTCATCTGATGTTGATGCATTAGGCATAATGACAGTTGCATGAGCAAAGAACAAGAAGAATAGTTGGGTGTTTTCATTCTATTATTGGTAGCTAAGACCATGGTGTTTTGCTCTCCCCTTCTCCCAGCAGTCTCATGTACATTTTGAAAAAGAAGACAAAAAAACCCCAAGGTTAGAACTGATCTCTGTAAGACGTGTGGAGAGAAAGAGCAGCTGCCCATGACTACTTGGAAGAAATCTAGCAGACCATGCCTAGGTATTCCTGCTGCATGACAAATATGCTGGCAGAAATGCTAATGTGCTTTGCTGTGTCAGGACTGCGGGACCATCCAGTAGTTTGATCAGGAGTATTTCATGTGTGCTTATGGCCTGGAGGAAGGTTTTCAGTAGCCTCGGCACTCTGTCCAAGTTCAAACTCTGCTTGTGAGCCTCCCATGGGGTCAGCTAATGTCACCTGTTGTTTGATCCTGATGGCTACTTTTTAATTCGTTAAGTAGGCTGGAGAGGCTGGAATCAGGACAGTGGCTGGAGAATACTCTGTCTACCTGTAAGATGGAAGATGGAACCTTAGCCTGTAAACTCACCAATTCCGTTGTCAGTGCCATTCTCTAGCCTAAATCTTAAAGAAGTGGTTGCAGCTACTATTGTCCCATTTTGAGAAAAACAACATTAGTTTCCACCCACTGGAGTGACTGCAGTTTCCAGGTATTTTTCTGCAACAGCTTTTCAAGAAAAACTAGCTATTGTTCAAAATCCTGAAACTACAGCTCACAGACTGTAGTATTATTAAATGCTTCCAGAACTTTAAGCAACTTGCTTTAATACCCATGAAGATCTTTTTATTTCTCTGCTTTGCTTATGCTTCATGGCCAAGTCCTTCTTTGCAAGCTGTATGTTCAAAACAAAGATACAGCCTTTTAGTTGTGTCTTTTTGAACGTGCAGGTGACTCATCAGCTGTTCTGTTTATCACCAAGACAACATAATCATGTGATTATATCTCTTAAAGTAAATCCTCTGGTAGGCTGTCGATCCAAATCAACAATGTTCACTACAAATACCCAGACTGGATTTCCTTAGCTGATCTTTATGTCTTTCTAACTAAGGAAATCTTTCAAACACACTCCCTGTGGCTCTTGGCAGAGTGAGGTGCCTATTAACAGGGGAATAACATACCTAGGCCTTCATTTCATGTGTGTTATCTCATGCAGAGATTCATACTATCTCTGTGTATGTACATAATATACATAACCTGGATACATATACACACCCCAGAATTTGATCTCTGGGGTCTACTAATAATAGTTTGCTTATGAATTGCAAAATAACAGCTTTTAGAGGAAAAGACAGGAAATAAGGATCCCAAGCATCCACTGGAAAGCTGCTAAGTGCTTTGTGGAGTGACAAACACAGAGTTCTGGCCTCCAATATGCAAAGTTGATGCTTTGATGGTAAGGAAAATACAAAATAAGGTGTTTTAGGATGGCATGTTACTACAGACATGTAAGAAAGAAAGGATCTGGCAGAAACTCATCTCAACCTGGTCTTTTTCAAGGCAATACCCTCTGTAATGATGAGGTGGTCATTTCCATAACAACTTGATTTTCTTAGGACGATATTGTTTTTAATTACTTTATCACTCCCTGCCCCACAATCAGAAGGTCTGTGCAATGTTCAGCTAAAGCCGTCTCTGCACAATCTGGGTGAGCTTTGCGTTTCTGAACAAGCCAGTGTTATCGGGATTCCATTCATTCCAGCTGGGGAACGGCAGACTGTGGGAACAGAGAGAGGTTCCCCTCCGCCTCCTCCTCTCTCTTTCTCTCTTAAACCTTTTTTCAGGATAAATATTTAAAGACTTGAATGAGGCAAAGCTCCCATAGGGCTGGAAACACAGACAAACTCACACCAGACAAGTCTGCAAAACAGCTTTTTTTGCTGTTTTTCTTTTCAACGTCCAAGCTTTAAAGATTTCCAGCTTTTAAATTGTCTTTGAAAAGAAGAGAAACCGTATTAAGGACTTTTTGGTGAACATAATATATTGGGTATTAATTTTAGCTCCAGTAATTTATGCCATGTAATTACTAGAATATGTCCTGGTGAATAATTGTAATAATAACAACAACAACAATAATAATATTAATAATAATAAAAAAAGTGAAAGAAACCCAGTTTTCACTTTATGATCAGCGGTTCAAATGCTCACACAAATGACTTGTCACATAGTTTTGCCAGCTTTTATCATTTTTGTCCTTTGGCCAAGTAAACTTACAGTCAGGTGAAAACATTTGTCTTATGTTAATTCTTTGTAAAACGCTACTGAGACAGAAATAGTTCTAGGGGGTTTTAGGCTCTCCCATGCAACATGGTACAGTTGGTGAATGGCTTCTAATTCAGACTTGCCTTGGCCAAGTCTTTGTTAGTAAGACCAGATATTCTAGAAGCTGTTGTAATAAAAATTCTGTATCCCGTGTCTTTTAATCACTCACACAATAAAACACTTACATCCTAGTTCTGTCAACATGAAATAATCATTAGTAAGACTTCACTACTTTGATCTGAACAAATGTTTTGTAGACTGCTAGGTTTCCCACTACTAATTCACTTAGTTTTGGTTTAGTATGGGAAAGCTGAACAAAATGCTTTTTCTATCAATAAAAAATTTCTAATGTGATTTTAATTCGTGGAAGAAAAGAAGAATGAATGAATGGTCTTGTCGAGAAATTGTCATGGGTCATGTTTAGATTTCTGCTGTATTAATGGTGATACATGCAGCGGACATGGCCTGTTGCCTGTAGTTTCCACTTTGATATATCAGAAATTCTTATATTTTTGGTTTTTAAACTAAACTAATTTCTAGTCTCATACCAGGTAGAGATAAATTTGTCCAAAGGTCCTGCACCATTTTTTTCTTATGCAACTTGGATTTCAGTCTTTCTCAGTATCCTCTTTTCCATCCACGTGTCTACCATTTTTTCCTACTTCTTTTCTCTCTTCACCCTATCAGCAATATAGGAATTATGCTACAGTAAAAGCTTGTTCAGTCTTATAGTGTTTTCCACTGACTGTGAACTCAGAAATTGGACTTTATTCAACTGTTCTCCCCATGGTGGAGGAATGCAGTATATTGACTCTTTGGGTGTAAACCTGTTATATTTCCCAGCAACTTCCATTGAGGAACAGAATTAGAAAATGCCCTTCCAAATGGTTCAAGGGTAAGTGTTAAGACTGCAAGCCATTGGAGAATAATATGTTTGTGCCAATACTGGGGCACTGAACATGCTCCAGACTGTTTTGCAGCACTGAGTCTAACTGGCACGCACCATCCTGTGTCAACACCAGTAAAGTCTCCTCCCCTGACAGGGCTGCCTGCCAGCACACATCTTATTTGGGAACGGTCACTTCCAGACTGTGAGCAAAAAAGTGCATTGGATAAGGGTCCTTCATCCCCACCATGCAGCAGAGAGTCCTGTTTTATGTTTCTGTAAGAATAAGTGTTCTGTAAAGTGCAGTAGCAAGAAGTCTGATGGTGAGAGAAGACTTGAAAGGGCCAAACTGTGCTGGATGCCATCCTGACAACATACCAGCCTGGTTCTATTTGATTTACTATTGTGGAAGTAGCCACTAAATTTTCTGGGCTGACCATTGAAACTTTCCCCTCCAAAGTCTTGTCCAGGTCTTCCTGGCTCCTACCACTCTCAATAGTAACAGCATGGCAGCAGCAGCTGTACCTAATCTTCTTGAGCTGCATTTGACTCTTTCCACCTTTTGAGGATCAGCTTCTTCACCAGGAGTGATCAGGGGGAGATTTGGCAAAACCCTCTTAGAAAAACCCCCCACTAGAGGACAAACAGTGTCAACAAATGGGACAGCTAAGAAGGACTTGCTTCTTTTGGAAGTCAACAAAATTCTGCACTTCCAGTTAAAAGCAGGATGAAGAAATTGTTCCCTGGCTATTCAGAAATTGTTCCCTGGCTATTTACAATTATTGGTCAACAGGCTTACCTTATATGCCTCTCTGAGGATAACCAAATGAGGAAATTGTCTTTTAAATCTTTCAGTTGTGGGGGAAGAGAACTGCTTTTTTCAGGCCACTGCCTTAAAAAATTAATAAAATAGTCCTGTGAACCTCTTCTAATTGTCTCTTCCCTTGTTTGAGTAGTTAAGAAAAGCAGTTACCCTGATGGTCATGGCATACGTTTCAAACATTGTCTGTGACTCACAAAGCTTCAAACATGCTGGCATTTCATTTGTTGGATGAATTCTACATCATTTGCATAACACATTATTTGCTTGCTAATATAATACCCAGCATTATCTGAGACAATTATCTGAGTAATGCTTTCCTTTGTGTCCTGGACTTACCATATGGTGTTTGGTTGTTGCATTGACGTTCTTTGGCCTTGCCACAAAAGGAGCTCTGTTCTGTGCTACACTTTAATCTGTAAGTGAAAAAAATATGCTATGACCTTTATGTTTGATGTATGAGAAAATTTTAGTTGCTTGCGGGTTTTTCCTTACACCTTTTTTACTCTGGGTTTTTTTAAAAGAAAATGATGGGTTGTGGTGGCCAAGAGAATTCATAAGAAGCTGACAGAAAGCCTGATATTTCATGTTTTGATGTCTCCATGGTTTTTATTAAACAATGATTCAAAAATGAATGTTTAATGACAGTTAGAACACAAAGACACTGACCTTTTCTCCTACAAGGGATACCACGAAAGTTCCTATTCCATTTCTCTGATCTCCTAAGCCGACTGCCAGCAGAGCTAAAGAAAACAAAGAATTGAAGTTCTTGGCATTTCTGAGGGACATTAACTTCATTACTATTTCTTTGTATCTCACCTTCAAATCTTAGGTCTCATTTGTATAAAACAACCAAAAAAATTATATGGAAAAAAAATAGGGGTTCTGATTTGTGTATGACAGTGTTCCCTTCTGACCATCAGTCTCCTTGCTACCATACTTCAGGATTCTTGACAGGACTTTTATCAATACAAAAGCATAAACCAGGATTCTCTGCTACATGGTGAGGATGAAGAGGAACATGTTTTCTTATCCAAACATTTTGCAGCAGAGCAGGGAAGTTCATGTCTTCTTTGTTTATTAATCCTAACTTTAAATTGCCTGCTTGTTACTCCCACTGAAATTAATCTGCATGGGCATTATATGATATACATTACACAGCCTGTAAAACAAGTAAGCATTGCCTAATTACAGGTCTCTTTCCAGAAGCAGAATTAAAAGCTTTCTGTTGGAGTTTTGGACATTCTGTATTTTAGAAGGGAGATAATGATCAGATTGGAATCCCAGAATTGCTTAGGATAATTACTTGATTTACATCCATAAGCCAATAGAACTACCTTTTTCACAAAATTAGAGTTAATAAAATAAGCCATCAACACTTTTCCTGTCTTCAGACGAATTTCATTTATCTACAGAAAACCCACACAGATTCTACGCTCCATTTCAATCCCATTTGCTCAGCATGGGGAGAATCTCACCCACCAGAGTTCAGACTTATTTTTCATTACTTAACAAAGAAAGTCAATTATTCAATAGAAAAGTTTTCTGTCAGTAGGATTTTTTTCTTCTTGATGAACTTTGAAATACTTAAAGAAAAGAAGAAGGGGAGGAGAGGGGGGCGAGCAGAATCAACTAATACAAACAACTGTAACACAAACTGATCTCCAGGGCTGAGTATATAATCCAGTTTTATAAACTCCTGGCCTGAAACCTGCCCTGGCACAATTTCAGGCCATTTTCTGTTGGACTTTCCATTCTGAAAAACACTCTTCCACCTTTGTGGAAACATCCATTCTTATGGATTACTATCATAAGGTGTAGGATAAAATGATCTATCACTAATCTCATTCTATCACGAAGCTCACTCAATAAGAATAAAGTCATACTCCTGATATCCTATCAAGCACAGTATTAAACAAGTCAGGTAATGCTTTTTTCACTACTAGTGCACAGCATAAAAACTCTCCATGCAGTAAGATATCCCCAAATTAAGAGCTTCTTTTCTTAGTTCCTTCATTTATTTCTCTATTCTAACTTTCTGGAATAGAGTAATGATAGAAATAAAATTAGTGAAGTTTTTAAAATTATGTGGCATATATTTATTTCATTGTATTCTTAAGCAATCCAGTCATTTCCACAGAGCTTTTTTACAGACCACATACAAAAAAGGAATAGCAACATGCTAAAATAAAGTACATTAATCACAACAATAACTTTTAGATAATTTTAGCTATTAGTATTTTTCCAAAAAGAGGATTTTTTGTTTGCTTATTTCAGCGTATGCATGAATTGTCCACAAATATATCTCTGATCTAACTCATTTTTGTGCAACGTGAAATAAATTCAACTAAATTCACTCAAAAGTATCTTAACCATTCATGTTAATACTGCTCAGCAAATTAATCTGAAACATGACCCTGATTCAGCAGAGCACTAGCTAAGTACTTAAAAATTCCATTAGGTCTCTTATCCTTGTTACTTAGGTTGGTACTTTTTGCAGCTAACATAATTTCTTGCCAATCTATAATTTTTTCAATATGACTAATGATAATGACCCCATAGTACTGGTTTGAGCAAAACGGTGTTTAGCATCTACCTATTTTCAGGTCAGCAGTGCAGATCCTGGGTTGAGTACAAAAGCACACAAACATTTAGCCCAGCTTTATTCACAGAATCCCATTGGATTCAGAAAATTGCAAGGGCATAGCTGTTATTTTCTCCTTTTAAGTTCAGTTCAGTTTCTTTAAAAATGAGGCTGCCATGTATTTCAATGCAACTGGGTGAGGATAATTTTTTGTTTAATTGATTTAAACCGTAAGTACATCATACTAATACGGGGCTTAGCTGACTTGTAGTTTTACTTCTTTGCGATTAGGCTAATGAATATCTGACAAAAAAAAAAAAAAAAGCAACAAACAACCAAACATTTTGTGGTTCTGAATCATCTCTTCTCCCTCTTTAAAAGAGGAATCAGCCTCAAATGATTAGCTCTTCACAAGCTGCTTTCTAAAATGACAGTGCATTTATTTCCTGTTAGTCTCCTGGTTTGTTTCTCTTCCTCGGTGTTGCACAAAATGTGTTTAAACCAAACTATATTGTTTACTAGGGTTAGTTAGTTGAACAACTGCATGCAAGTTAAACAGTTAAACAGGTGCATGCAATGAAATAACTGCACGTACACAGACAGTAATTTTGCAGGGCTGGAGTTCGGCACAGAGGAAGAAGTACCAAAGGCCTTCAGATACTAGTTGCCTCTATGAAAAACATGTTCCACTGAACTGAACTGCTTGCTGGATGTTGCATATGTACCTCCTCTTGGCTTTAGGAGCAGCAGCCTCACAGACACCTAGTCATGATACGATCATCACTGACTAATCCAGATCATACACTTCTGCAGAGGCTGTCTTTCAGGCTTGTTGATGACAAGAAGTCCAAAAAGAGTTAATGCTAATATGACACTGTCCAAAATGCAAGAATGAAAAGAGTTACTGTGTTTTGGCTGCAAAAAGACTAATAATTTGCAAAAGAAAAAAAAAATTGTTTTCATTTTTAAAACATCAATGCCTTAAAGACTGATTTTTTAAAAATTAAAATGGATGTTATGGAGCCTAGAAGCAGCAGAAACAAAAGACTCTGAGATTAATCCTAAATGCCCCTGTAAAAATACATGTATAGAACAATTTTATAAAGACATGAAACATGAAATGAACCTGGATTTAAATATTGTTCCAAGGAACTTTCAAATAGTAAACTCAAAAGGCTATTTTTTTACAATGGAGACATCAACAATGTTAATAATGGCAGCTCTGCTTCAAAGTTCTAATGAAAGCCTTAAATTCTTGTAATATGTAATAACTAATAAGGTCATTTTTTCACTACTGGAAAAAATAATTTCATTTCCATGTTTTCTCCTCAAATCATTTAGGTTGGGCTATACTTGAAGTGCTGACCACAGTAAGAGCCCCAGACATATAAAAGAGCCTTAGTAGTTATGCTACCTGCCAAAGATAACTGTTAGTTTAAGAAGTAGTATGGTGAAAGCACATCACACCACTTGCTGGGGTCAGACAAATGCACACCATTTAAAGAGAGAGAGAGAGAGAATCCAAACATAACTTAACTAAAATTTTGAGAAGCTGGCATGAGCCTCCTACCTTTTTTCTCTCCAATTGAAAATGCAAAGATATGTAATATTTCTCCTTCCACCCTCAGTCCTACTAATTGGGACTGAAGCAAAATCAAACTGGTGTTTTCCTGCTAGGTGAGAGAATAACAGACCAGTATAAAGAGGGAGAGGTACCTTGAAGTGTTGCTTTACACACTGGCAATTCTGCTTCAATTTCAGTTACAATTTCTCTGAGATCACAAAGAAATTATTCCCCTGGTACAGAAGCAAAAGGGGGCTATGGTTAAACATCATGCTAAGCATGAGATCTGTCTGTATCTTAAGAGTTTCTTCTTCAGGGAAGTTGTTTCGTGAGGAAGGATCACAAATCAAGAGAGGAACTTTGAAAAGGTATTCTCTTTCTGTGTCTGAAGATAATGTGAATGAGTTTGATCACAGAAATATAGAATGGTTTGGGTTAGAAGAGACCTTAAAGATCATTGAGTTCCAACTCCCCTGCCATGGACAGGGACCCTTCCAACTACAGCAGGTTGCTCAAAGCCCCATCCAGCCTGGTCTTGAACACTTCCAGGGATGGGGCACAGCTTCCCTGGGCAATCTGTTCCAGCGCCTCACCATCCTTACAGTAAAGAATTTCATTCTATTATCTAATCTAAATCTCCCCTCTTTCAGTTTAGAACCATTACCCCTCATCCTATCACTCCACTCCCCAATAAAGAGTCCCTCCCCATCTCTCCTGTAGCCCCCTTTAGATACTTCTGAGAGGGGCCTACAGGAAGGCTGGGGAGAGTCTGTTTACAAAGGCCTGCAGTGACAGGACGAGGGGCAATGGCTTTAAGTTGCGAAAGAGCAGATTTAGATTGGAGATTAGGAAAAAGTTCTTTACTATGAGGGTGGTGGAGCACTGGAACAGGTTGCCCAGGGAGGGGGTTGAGGCCCGGTCCCTGGAGATATTCAAGGTGAGGCTCGATGAGGCCCTGGGCAACCTGGTCTAGTTGGGGGTGTCCCTGCTGACTGCGGGGAGGCCAGACTAGATAACTTTTGGAGGTCCCTTCTGCCCTCGACCATTCTATGATTCTATGATTCTACTAGAAGACTGCAATAAGGCCTCCACGCAGCCTTCTCTTCTCCAGGCTAAACAACCGCAACTCTCTCAGCCTGTCTTCATAGGAGAGATGCTCCAGCCCTCTGATTGTTTTCATGGCCCTCTACTGTACCCGTGCATGCATCACAGGTAAGTCAATTGCTTTAGGTCCATATATTCTTTCTTCTCTCTGAGTAAAACTCCTTTAATGTCTGGTTCAGCTGGTTGAAAAACAGCTGAACTGGCTCCTTTTGAAGACACATTGTGAAGCGTATTTCCTAGAGACCACCCTTCTGCTGATGAGAAAAAGCTCTTAACACAGTTTCTTTTGTCTCATTCTGCCATATCATGTATTTGTGTTCAGTGTCTCTTGCTCTGAGTCACTGGAAATCGTATAGCCAGTAAACTGAGGCCACCTGGCTAATCCAATAATCATATCTGCAGGGCAAAATACAGGATCACCCACATCTTGCTACTGTGGTGCCTGGACTGACAAAGGCAGTACAGAGCTAATTGCAGGGTTTGCATGCAAGGAAAAGCGAAGGGCAAAAACTGAGGGAGATTCTTTCTGAGGAAGCAAGGGGAGATGGGACATCACCAGATAGGCCTCTCAGAGAGAAAGAGACAGTGGGAAGAGCTGGTATCAGCCCTGAAGTTTACTGTTGTGTGAAAGTGAGAGGAAATCAAGCTAAGTAAACAGACAAACCAGGGTCCTGGTTGTGCCAGGATTTGTTTATTTAAAAAAAAACAAACAACAAAACACATGATGAAGGTATGTGATAGAAAGGCAGAGTTTGTTCACATGAGAGAAGACACCTTGTGAAGAAGACCAGAGCCCCTTGCAGCAATAGATGCAGGATTGTCATTGAAACAAGCCTCAGGAAACCTGAAGCACTGTCATACCTTAGCTACTAACTCTTCATTTTGAGCAGTGGTGAGAGATACTTTACACATGATCTAGTTTTTCTATACTGCATCCAAATATGCCATAATTTCCTTTTAATGTGCATTTATAGAGTTTATTACTTCACTTAAACCTTTTATGTGCTGGAGCTCTTTTGTGATCAAAGAATCCATGGCGCACTAGTCATTCACATGCTCTTTTCTAAGGAGCATTTACATCATTTTTCCAGAAAAACATGGAGTAGCAAAACATATTGCAATGATATTTCCCAGCTTTGGGATTTCACCTAAACTCTGGGCTAAATAAAGATCTTGGCTAAATCAAGAGATTTTCCCCAGTTAGTCTCTCCCTTTCTATTTCTGCAGCTGAGGCTAATGTCATTGTCCTGTACGGGACACATGCATGAGCCAGAGTTGCTATTAGTTTCAGCATTTGTCAAATGCCATCCTCCTCCTGAAATCCCAGATGAAGAGCAAGATACTGCTTATAAACTAAGCAGAAAGCACAACCAACATGCCCCTGAGAAAGCACTCAGTAGGAGGAACTGAGAGCAGAAAACAGAGGCTGAAGGAAAAGGGTATGAATGATGGTAGCTGAAAGCTGTGTTTTTTACAAGGTCCAGTTCCCCCAGTTCAAAACACGCCTCAGCTGGATTATCCAATCCTGGACACGGAAAATATATTGAGATTTGTCTTGGAAACTTTGTGACCTTCCTGGGCAAATGGTCTGCGTAAGGTTACAAATATCTCAGAGCAAGCAATTAAACTCCCAATATTGGGCTGACAGAGATGTGTTCAGCTGGTTTGTACTTAATAAAGCTCAGCTGCAGTGGTCATGAGTACAGTAAAGAGGTGCACAATAAATGGACTCGTGGCTGTTTGGTCTTCACTACCGTTTTGGGCTGGTTTTTTTTAAGCTCTGTATGTGAGCTTTGCCAATAAAGGTGGATAAATTTCTGGTTCCAGTTTGTAGTTATCTGTACTCCTGGCTACTTTCTACAGAGTTCTGTTGCCTCTTGCTTGAATGAAACCAGAACACAGTGCGAAACATGGATAAACTATCTATTTCTGAACTGTCCGAGGTCATCAAACAAAACCAAAAAAATGTCTCACAGAATTTCCATCTGGAAGCATGAATTGGCTGAGCTGGATGCACAAACCCCGTCAAGCCTTCCCTTAAGTCTCGCCAGGATATTAACTTTGAAATAAAGCCTAGTTTTTCTGAGTTCTGTTTTGAAGATTTCTGCTCTATTCAGAATGTCTGTCTTGCCATTATTTTTAAGAAAGAGGTAAAAGCCAAAGAGTGGAATTTGGAAATATATGTGTCATCAGCTCAATTATATTGTTGCCTAGAAGTGAGCCATGTTGGCACATAAAACTAATTTATGGCTGTAATTATATTCATGGGACACTCACAATACCTTTGCCTGACCCCTCTATTAGCTACGGCCACTTGAAATGTATCTGTTCCATGTAAACCTAGCTATCAGTGACCCTCTGTAAACCCCATTTCTGCATCCTGCTTTAATAGAACATACAAGAAAGAGATGGGGAGGGTCGTGAGGAAAATTTCAGAGCTCTCATTGGGTTTCTAAAAACTCACACCAAGTTTCTACCTTCAGGGTCACTTTCCTGTCATATAAAAATTTTACCACCAGGTTTAAACCACTAGAAATTAGGGAAATCACTCAGACCCAACATCAACAGTGCACAACCCTCACCGCCAGTACTATCATACAACAGGAATCACCAAATGGCTTGATCCAATGCCCACCTAAGTGAATAGGAAACTTTCTGTGGGTTTGAAGGAGAGCTGGTTGGGAAAAGGAAGAGAGATCCAGCAGTGATTTAGATATTAACGTGGCTAGGTAAATTTTCAAATTTCAAGTCATAAGACTTCTTGTTTTTGTAGAGAGGACATGTGGTTTTGTGACTAAACAGCGTTCTTTCTTTTATTCTGAATAGCATCAAAACACTTGTTGGATGAAGATTAAACACACGCATACTCACACACAAGCAAAACATGTCACAACATTTATGCTAAGATCTTGAGGGGCATAAACTAGCCAGTTCTTTTTAAATTTTTTTTTTTTCTGATTGGTTTTCCACTGTTCTTTGAGAAATGAGGTCTTATATGGCTCACATTTTGCACTATGATTCATCACTTTGAAACATCGATCATGTCTGGATTGTTGAAAAGCATGGTGTTTAAAAAGAAAAAAGTTTTGCCCAAAAATTTCAAACTGGGTGTTCTCTGCCCACATATTCATGGATACATTTCTTTATACACAGTGCTAAGAAAACATTCAATCAACCCTTCACTCAACCAAACCTATCTCAGTTAGTGGAAGTGAAGCAACGTGCTCCTGACCTAGCTTTTGTTCATTGCAAGGATATTAAGTATCAGCTGAATTCAGATTAAAACATCAACTGGAAAAAGAGATGACAAGACATTATCAAAGTTAGCTAGAAACAGAAAACAAGCCTGACTAATTTTTGATATGTAGGCTAAAAACATAACAGGCAAGCAATAGCCTTAAAAAGTATTAGTGACAGATGAGTAAGGATGAATAACAGGGACTACTCACTTATATGATTGTCAAGAGTTTATCGTGAGGTGTTGTCACCTTCCTAGCAGTGGCTGTTAGTGAGTCTTGGCTTCAGTGCGGCAGCAGTCCCTGGATGAAGAATCTGAATTGTCTGTGCTCCGTTGATTCCGGCTGCTTCTACAGGCCCTCTGGCTTTTTCTGTAAGCAAATACCTACATTAGCAGTTGGAAACAAGGAGAGCCAAAGTTGTTCTACATACACCACAAGCAAGTAGACCACCAGTGGTTCATTCATGAACCACAGGGTGGGAACCTCTGAGAATACACATAAAAAACGTGCAATTCGTGGATGGAAACAGACCAGTCCAAATGCGGGAAGCTGCAGCAATGCAGCCGGACAATCTCTTTGTGTGTGAAAAGTGAGCACACGTGGATCACTGCTAACGGGAGAGTTAAATCCCTGTTAGTCCCTCTGGTAAACTCATGCCAACAGCTTTGGGTCAAAACAACAAAAATAAGTGCTTCAAAATGAAAATTTAGCCTATTCCCCTAGCCAAGGATTGATTTGTATGGGACCGGAACAAAACAGGTCTGCATTGCTAAACCTTCAGAGCATCTATCTAACTCTGCATTGGTAGAAGTCATTGAACCAGTGAACATTTTGAATTTGCTCAAGTGTTACGGGTAACAGGCACAGGCTGCATGGTAGGAACACAAAGTTTTATGTTTCACTTGCGCAGTTTTGTGTCTATTGTGATGTTTCTCCTCTCTTAGCAGAATATCTGACCCAAATGACCTTCTGAAGGATGACTTGATCCTGATCTGAATTCAGACCCCAGAAAGACTTTTCCTGTATTCTAGGTCTATGCTTCTGCTGCCAGGCTGCCTTGGAAGGCCCTTGGAAGTGTGTTAATAAGCTCGTGCATTGTTACTTCATTAGGCTATTCCACCTTTGCTTTCAGATTATAGTGTCTTTCCAAATTCCGAGAGTTCAAAGTAAATACTGTTTATAAGATCTTAGACTGGGATTCATGGCAGCTATTTTTAGTTGTAAAAGTCTAAGCTGGCTATCCAGACACCTCCTACATGGAGAGACAAGGACCTCACTCCAGGCAAGGCAACTCACTCCAGCTGAAAATGGATGCCTAAAATAAATGGAAGCTTCTGTTGTTCCCCACTGATAGTAGAGGACGCTTGGGTAACTGGTTTAGACTACAAGTCTAACTCTGCCTAAGGTTAGTTGAGATGCATAGTAACACTTCCATATTTTAAACTGTTCACTATGCAGATCTGGAAACTGTGGGAAAAGCCTCACAGGCAACTTTGAAAAGCCTCTGGATGAGGTGAAGAACTACACTCGCTATATTTACCACAGAAAACAACTTAGTTTTAGAAATTATTAAAGAGACAAAGAACAAACAGACCAGCCAAAATGAACTAGAACACAGCAGGTTACAGAACTTGTACTACAGCATGTTGAAGATGTGAAAACTTTACACAGGCCCAAAGGGAAACTGGAAAATTTCAAGGCAGAGAAATATACATATATATACCACACACCATTTGGAAGCCACAGAATCACACGTTGGGACTGGCTGGGAGATCGCTCTAGGGATGCTTTGCTGAATTTATATACCTTGCCCTACACATCTGCTTTTGGCCACTGTTGGAGTGAGAGTGTAAGTGTTAGACAATGTTGGTCTGACTAAGTATGCCTGCTCAGACCACAGATTCTCCCTGTTACCAGTTCTTGATTTACAGATTTACTGGCTAGGAATTATCACATTTGAAAAGCAGTCATGTAAACTAAAATTGAAATACTTGCCAATTAACATTAGATATCAATAAAGTTTAATCTCTGGTCATGATTTAGGCTGAAGCTGTTCCTGAAACTATATCCATAAAGCTGGCAATGACAACTAGCTACTTTATTGACTGTACATACTCTTCTGAGTCTCTATACCCCTATTTATGCTTTGAAGATCATAAAATTTGCTCAGCTGAACATTTCGTTATACTCAGACTTTTTCATCCTTTTTTTTTTTTTTTTTTTTAAAAAAATATTCCCATCCCTGTTTCACACCAAACTTTTGGGGAAATTTGGCAAAGCCATACATCTATTTATGCCTAGCACTGTGTGACTATTTCATCTTTCACAAGCTGTGCCAAAGACACTCAACATGAAAACAAGGATCTAAATAATTTTGGGACAAATGAAGGGTGGTTTTCTCTCTTTCAGTATTAAGTGTTTGCAATTTTTTTTTTTTTTTTTTTAAAGAACTACAGTAAGTTTGGATGTGCTACTTAACCTCATCCTACTATTTTTGTTGTCCAACTTACAAAAAAGCCACATGAAACAAGGAAAAACTTGAAGCTTTTATGTGGTCACCACCACCTGAGCCAAACCAACTTTCTGGTATCTTTGGACTCTGAACATTTGTGTTTTAGCTTGACATCCTGTAAAGGAGAGAGGTAATATCACAGGGCGCAGACAAGAAAAATAGGAACAAACGAAAGCTTTAAACGTAAAAATTCTGAATAAAAATTTTCAGACTGTAATGACCCAATTAAATGATTGTTTGGGTTATTTTTCAGTTGAAATTGTGGGATGTTGCAACAATTGTGAGCTGTGCTACTGGGGCTTGTGGGATGTTTCACTTTTTCTCTTTAGACTAAGAATTCGTCAGAAATATGCTCACAAAAACTTTAAGTAGCTCTGAGTATCAGGGATTCCCACCAGTTTGGACTAGGAAGATATTCTGCCCCACACTTCACACTGTACCATGCCTGTGACATCACTGGCATCAAGTTACTCTTAAGTAACCATGTACCTCTGAAACCAGAAACAGCAGAAATAGAAAGGGGCAAAAAAGTGGTAACAGATCATGAATGGATATGAATTTTGTGCAAAGAGGAACACATTTGAAAAGTTCAGGGAAGGCCAATTTGTTTGTTCGTTTACTCACTCCTGTAATACAGGATCAAGGGAATATCTGACAAAATCAAAAGGCAAGTCATTTGAAGTGGTTGAAAGTAAGAAATACATAAAAATAGGCATTTTTTGAGTAAGAAACCCTGATATATTACCAACCTGTGGTAAACAGGACTAACTGAAAGACAAAGCCACTACAGGACTCACAGAAAGGTTAAGCATTATGTGAATTGCACAAATACCCTCTCACATAAAACATGATTAAATTTTGAGACCTCATTCCTCAGTGAATAAGCAACCACCGGGAAACAGGGTTAGGAAGCAACTTCCCTTTGGCCGTTTTACCATGACCCTCTGTTTCATGGTTGTCTTGTAGATTCTTCTCAAGATTTTGCTCACAGACACTGCTGGAGGAAAGATACTGGATTAAGTGAATTTTTATATCCTCTAATAGAATTGTGTCAAAAATCCTTAACAAAATGTTTGGTTTCTTATCAACTGTGAACCCTGTTTAACACCTGTAAGGACTGTTAAAAATGTCATGGCAGCCTTCCAAAGATACCTGAATTTGATCCAAATTGAAAACAAATCCCACTGAAGTAATTGAGAGAACCAATGTGAGAAATGTTAAAAAATAAACAGAGAACTTTTTCACTTGCTTTTCTATACAATTTCCTACCTGCATTAAAAATTATCTAACCAGACTATATCACTAGTGTGATTAATTTGATCTTGAAGAAATATGTCTACACAAGACAAGCTTTTAAATTTAACTAATCAGTAAGATGGACAGCATTTTAAAATTGTACTCAGCATTAAACTAGAAAGAGTTTAAACCAAGGACAGGGGTAAACACATCCAAGGAAATTTGAGATAAACTGAACTAAATACAAGAAGCAGTACATTCAACACAACATATGAATGATGGCTGATCCACCCTCTTTAAGGGGATCAAGAGACCTGAGATAGTATTCTGCATCTAGTTTTAAACAGTGCATTTTTTGAAAGATGTAGATTATCTGGGAGAATCCAGAAGACAATAGAATAAAGAGTATATATATAAAAAAATGTTTTGAAGAAACATGACTTTGTTTTCTTTAGAAGAAAGAAGCCTAAGAAGGACATGATTGTAGCCCTCTGATATATAAAAGTCTGTACACACTATCATGAAAAATTGTTTTTCAGGCAAACAGAAGAAAGACCAAGAACAAATTTTACTGTGACTACAGAAAGCCTTTTGGTTGGATATTAAGGAAAGTGTTCTAATCAAAAGCTGCTGAAACACTCAAGCGGGCTAATTCTGTATGCTGTGATATCTCTTGGATAACTGGGAGAATAGTTCAGAAAAATATGTGTCAAGTACATACAAGGATATCTGATTCTGCTTCAGAAAGAATAAGAAGGACATGATTGTAGCCCTCTGATATATAAAAGTCTGTACACACTATCATGAAAAATTGTTTTTCAGGCAAACAGAAGAAAGACCAAGAACAAATTTTACTGTGACTACAGAAAGCCTTTTGGTTGGATATTAAGGAAAGTGTTCTAATCAAAAGCTGCTGAAACACTCAAGCGGGCTAATTCTGTATGCTGTGATATCTCTTGGATAACTGGGAGAATAGTTCAGAAAAATATGTGTCAAGTACATACAAGGATATCTGATTCTGCTTCAGAACAGTTCTGAATCATAGAATCATAGAATGGTTTGGGTTGGAAGGGACCTCAAATATCTCATTCTAACACCCCTGCCATGGGCAGGGACACCTCCCACTAGACCAGGTTGCTCAAAGCGCCATCCAGCCTGGCCTTGAACACTTTCAGGGATGGTACATCCACAGCTTCTCTGGACAACCTGTTCTAGTGTCTCACAGCCCTCACAGTAAAGATTTTCTTCCTGATATGTAATCTCAATCTCTATACTCTTTAAGATAAGATGATGTCTCATTGTTCCCCGTAGCCATCCATTTTTATCATTTTGTGGTACGCTCCTGGGCAGGTGAATCCCAAGGGAAGATTCCATGTGCTTGGTGGGAAATCCCATTGGGCTATGCCAAGGAGCACAATGGAGAATTTAGGACATGGAAAGCTCAAGAACTTGTAGATACACTGGAAAAACTGTAGCATACCACACAAGCAGCTTTTGTAATTCCCAAATCTGGTATGTATTTATCATTCAAAACTAACATGACACAGATGCCAAAACCTACATTGTTTTCTGTGCTGATTTATATTGTGGTTAAAATAGAGACAGCGCCTACATTTTCATA